TGACCAGGGCCGGTTTTGAGGGGAGGGGAAGTATGTGGTCGCCTAGGGCCCCCGGATTTTTTCAAAAATTTAGGGCCCCCAATATGTTTATATCTTTTTTATATGAACATTTTTTGGAAAAAAAATATTATATATATATATATATATATATATATATATATATATATATATATATATATATATATATATATATATATATATATAATTATTGAGAACCTTAATTCATAAATAGATATAAATCCACGATTCTTACTTGTTTCTATAATTCATCTAATCAGGGGGCCTAATTATTAAATTTATAATGTATTAGTTACTTATTTTTGTATATATTCACTTGTTTTAGTGCTACTTCATGCAAATTATCCTTAAAAAAATCGGGGGCGCTGCCCCCAAATCCCCGAAAACTTGAACCCCACTATATCACAAATGTCTACTCTTGTCACTGGCTATGTACCTTACAAAATTGAGTTAACATCGAGTTTATCACCTTTTTTGAAAAAAAATAAGTTTTATTGTATACTGTAGAAGGGCCCCATTTTTTAGTCGTTTTCAAATCTCGCATAGGGCCCCCAAAATCTCAGGAACGGGCCAGTTTCTGACAACTATGCATTGCATAGAACAAGCCCTAACTTGAGATGGATTTATTGACGAATGTGCCAAGTTTTTGACTCTTTGACCAAATTAACAGAATGGTCAAACTTCTCCTTTTCTTTCTTGATTGACTCAAAAATAGAATATGGTTTCTTTCTTATTTTATAAATGGAATATTTGAAGCCATTTATTACCATTAGCAACGCAACATCCAAAAAAAACACAACAGCTGATTTTGTATAGGGCTGGGCATTCGGGATCGGGATCCAGCCTCCCATACCGCCCCAAATTCTGGGATTTCAGGATTTCGGTTTTCAGATGAAATACGGGATGGGATTTGGGAATGGATTAAATCCCGTTCGGGATAATTTAATCCCGACTTTCTAAGATACTTTTTAAAACAAGAAATTAATCATAGTCTCCTGCAAAGATTATTACAGTATATTATCAAGTACCACTTTTGCAACTAAGGATTTGGTCAAAATAGAGAAAGAGTGAGTCAACTAATCACCAGATTACAAGTTAAAAAAAAAACAAATGATTAGTTAATTAAATAAAATAAAGAAGTAGCTTAGTTAGACCTATTTGCTAATCTTGAATTCCTTCTGGAAATGATTTCTGCTGCCCATTTTTTCCCAGTTTCAGTTTGAAATTTCCCTTCACCAAACAAATACATATATACACAAGTCATTGACTAGAAATAAAGTATAATAATAACTCAGTTTCAAAATAAATTAATCAAATTATTTGTTGTTAAATTTACCTGCAGTTGACAGAAAAAACTCATCCAACACCTTTCCATGCTCTGCCATACAGTTTCAATAGGACAAGTTTTTCATTAGGCCAAACAATTTATATGTTAATTATAAATTATCTAAAATAATAACCTTTGGATTAATCTTACCTGTTTCATATTCTAATGCTTGCAGTATCATTTCAACCTGGAGAAGCAAGGGAGTAGTTTAGTAACATGCTTCCGACTACTTAGAAACGGAATAAATAAATAAATAAATAAAATTACGAAAAAGTTAGGGCTGAAGAAAGCATTATAAGCCGGAACTAGTAACATACAAAGTATTTGTGCTAAGATCGACAAGAAAATACCCGGGAAAAAAACAAACAGTAACATCAAGACAAAGTGAAATTATTTAAAGAAGAAATGTTTTAGGAGTTGAAAGTCGAAACCAAGTCATAAGAGTGTCATACAAAAATGCAGAGTTACGTACTTTATCGAAATCTTTCACGAGATTGGCCTCCAAAGATGAGTTGTTTTCGTACTCTAGCCATAGTTCTTTGATTTCTTCAGCTGCCCGAAAAGGGTAAAATATATCAAATCCGATACATCAAAAAATGTGTAATTACACATTATATATTGGGATTGAGCATTAGTGTAACACCTCTCATGCCACCACCAAGAACCTTGCACATTTCATCCAATGCTTCTGTCTCCATTCTACTCTTTTCTGCCTTCGGCACACCATCCGATGGTGTAATGTCTCCAACAATAGCTACATAAATTATATAATTTATTTTTTCTTTAATTATTTCATTCTATTTTAAGAAGCAAGACCGATATCGCAAAATGGGGAAGAGGGGAGAGAGCTAGATTATGTAAATTAATACTGAATCAAGAAAATACCTTCTGCAATGTCATGAACAATTGCTATCTTGATACACCTGTTTCATATAATTCATAAAGTAATATTGGTGCACTCGATTAGCAAATGGGAGAATACACGTTATTACCCAAAATCGGCTGTAACAAGATTTTCAAAAGATTGTCTTTGTTCATGCACAAATGTTAAGAGTTCTAAAAGAAAATGATTACTGTATTTATTACAATTAGCCACCATACCAACCAGTTAAGCATAGCAAATTAGCAAAATCTCTCACATACTAAAACGAGACCTCATAAACTAAAGAATACGGAGAGATGAGTCGAAAAAAGAAATTTAACAAACTAAAACCTAGCACATTGAGAAAACCGAAAATGTCTGATCATCCTATCATCGTACGGAACTGAATTGACATATTCTGTGCTGACTTTATCCGTAAATGTGCAAGTATTTTGGAACGGACTGTTGATTGAGATACGAAAACTAATTCAAGAATCAAATACAAGTATTCAAGGCTTTACCCATTTTTTTATCGGTCGCAGTGCAAGTATTTATAATCCGATGAATCATAAATAATAACTAAGACGAATTCAAATTTCACAACTAAAAAACACAAAATGGGCAAATAAATCGACCAGAAAACGATTCAACTTCACCTTTCCCTGTTAACACCGGGAATATCGCTAGTAATCAAAGCCATCAAAGACATACGGTACATGTGATCAGCTATCGATTCAGGACCGTTTATTCCATGATTGACCCATCCTTTCCGTTTTGTCGACTGCGAGAGAGAGTAATAAACATTATACTCAAAAGCAAATTAAATGACACTGCATGCAACAAGTAAGAAACTGAAAAAAAATATATAATATTTCCATTCTTCTGAGTATTATTTACAGTTTGAAGTATAAGAGCATTCATTTAATTTAATTTTATTTTAAATTCATAACATAATATCAATAGCCACACAAAACCCCTAATTCAACCCCTTTCCTGAACAATCATTAGGGCAAAAAAAAAAAGGTTAGAATTCGCGCACACACACCTTCAAACGGTGGCACAATGTGAGAAAATCAATGGCGGAAGAGGCGGAAGATGAAGCATTTGAATGGGCCAGGGTTTCGCTACCCGATCCGAACCCGGATACAGTTTGATCCATTTTGATTGAATCGAGGTTGGGGTTGTGGGAATGAATCGAAACGAGTCTAGGGCTCGTAGATTCTGAATTAAATGGGATTCTGAGTGAATTTTTGTGGGGATAATTTAATCTCTGGAAGTTACAGGGAGAAGGTGAAAGTGTGTTTGCTTTAGGTGCCGCCATTGACGCCATTGTTTCTGTGCTTATGAAACAGAAGCTTTTCAGAATGGAACCAAAAGAAATTTGCTGTGACAAAAATTAGGAAACTATTTTTTTAATTCCTATTTTGTCCCTGTTCTAGTTTGGGCCTTTGAGTTGGAGGAAATGGTTAGAATTGTAATTATCAAAACAAATCAAGAAAATAATAATAAATATTTAAATTTAAATGTGAATATTTTAATTGAGAGATATCAAATTATATTTACCAAGAAACTATACATAGTGAACTTTTCAATACATTATTAGGGTACATAATATAAATTATTGGGGTTATTTTGAATTTTCTTTTCCGGATGAATAAACAAAATTAATTTATTTCCATAATAAATTTTATGGGCTTTTTGTAGCCCAATACGAAGCTAATAAGTCAACACAAAGCACAAACGACTCGAAGCCCTAGATCGGAACAAAATAACCCACAAACTCACATATTTGAACTCTCGTGTTTTCCACACTCAGAAGTGGATCTCACTCATTAACGAATAACAAAAATCCAAGATTCAAATTGCATTAGTGTAAAAAACAATCCAAGGTACAATTATTTATTTCAACATAAACCTCAACCAACACACACACACACACACACACGTTATCTATTCCCATTTTGCCCTCATATGATGCAAGTGCTTGAAATCATAAGACAAAACCAAACTCCCATCCATTCTTTTCACATTAAACCTCTCAACCAAAACATAGTATCCAAACTCACTCCATTCCTTTGTTTCCTTAAACTCCTCAACTCTATTAATCTTTACTTGCTTTTCTTCACCACCATCAAAACCACCTCTCTTCTGCTCCCATTTCATTCTTTCGACTATTTCCACTCTCAATCACACGCTCGTTTTTTCGCCTGTGGGACCGTAACTTGTAAACCAAACAACCCCATTATCAACAGATTTCTCATTCCATACAGCTTTCCTCCCTCGAACAAACACTTCTTCTTTCTCAACCACAACGTCGATTTTCACCGAGTTTTCTCCGTAAGAATTGCATGTGAAAACCTTCTCCCATCTCTGCTCGAGTGTCAACTCGTAGTACATTGACCTTTTCACCTGATCTTTTAGTGTTGTTCCTTCGTTGATAAATATGAACGGCGAATACCATTTTCCTACAACAAGAGAGGTAGTTATTTCTTGTGGGAGGTGAGAGCGGAGTTTGTGGTCGAGGCCTTGTGCTTCGTCTAGTTTGAAATTATCGGGAGTCTCGGTGTAGATACCCCAACCCTTGCATCGCAAGAAATATGGAGGGAAGCCATCTTCTGCTATGGATTTGGCAAAGAAGGCACCCCTTGCAGCGCACTCTTCCACGAATGGAACTATCTCGAATTGCTGGTAAATGTTGCATGGATCTAATGGCCTCGGTTTCACGTCTTCTATTTCGAGGCTGAAACAGCATGTGACCTTATCGTCTTCCATTGAGCAGGTGAATGCTTGTCTGAAAATGTTTTCTTTTTTAGTACTCTTTCATAGTTACACCTATGTATGTGAATCAAGAATTTGCAGGCTGATTTTAGTGTAAAGATCCCATTTTTATTTGTGTAAAAGTTTGATATTTTACACGTTGCTGATTTCGTTTTGTACCGAAAGGGAGTATATATATGTTCGTAAAGATGTTAATATACAAGAGAATTCTTGGGTTTCCTTATATTTCTACCGAAAGTCGAAGAAGCGCCGTACCATGCAGAGTCCGAGTATGTTTATCAAGAAATTCGAACGATAAAAATGGGATCTTTGCACCAAAACCAGCCTGCATAGTTCTTGATTCGTGTATAAAGTTCATATAATAAAACTACGAAACATGGTATAAATCAAGACATACATACCCTTTGCGTTTCCCATGTGGGACAATGGCGTAGTACCGATTAAACGAGAGTGGTTGATTAAGAACAGGAATCAAGAAAACCGGAATATGAGAACTATGTTTCCCACTGCCAAATCCAACAGTCAACTCCTTGTCTTGAGGGAAAGGCAGCTCCTTTAGGGCTCGATTCTTACAGCATCCGAAACAAGAGTAGGTTACAGATGCCTCGTCTTGGATTACTAGATATCCTGAATTCGGACCATCTGGTTTTGTTGCAACAGATTCCGGAGATTTTAGCAACTGAGAAAGCCGCCTTGTCGAATACATCTTTTACTTTGGCCTTCTACCCTTTTTTTTTTTGTTGTCAGAAATTTCCGAGTTTTATTAGTGCTAAAGTTGTCGTCACACCGAAGTTAATTGCATTATAATCCACGACGACTTACCTATTAAATCGATCTTAAATACATTTGAGCCAATGAGATGTTGGAATCTAGAACCGCAGCTACTAATTCAAACAAGTTACTTACCGAGTCAAGCGATTGATTAGGTAGTAGTGTACGAAACACATTCTTGAATTAAGTACTAATTTAACTTGCCGTATAATAATATGTACTAGCTTGACTAATTAAACGTGGTCAACGTCATTTGTCGATAATGCAACTCCATGCATATTCAAGGGAATTGTGTTCTAAATTTGTATCAAGAAGATGCATTAGAGTAAAATCAATCCAGGGTAAATTTATATATAATCAACAGAACAACGCAACCGACGCAACACTAAACGAAACACAATTACAAAGGAGAACACTCAAATAAAAGAAAGAACAACATGATTAAGAACATAAGTACATAATTATTTATTCCCATTTAGCCCTCGTCTGATGCAAGTGCTTGAAATCATAACACAAAACCAAACTTCCATCCATTCTTTTTACATTAAACCTCTCAACCAAAACATAGTATCCAAACTCAGTCCAACTCCCTTTTTCCTTAAACTCCTCAACTCTATTAATATTTACTTGCTTTTCTTCACCACCAACATAACCACCTCTCTTCTGCTCCCATTTCATTCTTTCCACTATTTCCACTCTCAATCCCACGCTCGTTTTTTCGCCTGTGGGACCGTAGCTCGTAAACCAAACAACCCCATTATCCACAGATTTCTCATTCCACACAGCTTTACTCCCACCAACAAACACTTCTTCCTTTTCAACCACAACATCAATTTTCACCGATTTTTCTCCGTAAGAATTGCAGGCGAAAACCTTCTCCCATCTCTGCTCGAGTGTCAACTCATAGTACATTGACTTTTTCACCTGATCTTTTAGTGATATTCCTTCATTGATAAATATGAAGGGAGAATACCATTTTCCTACAACAAGAGAAGCATTTATTTCTTGTGGGAGGTGAGAGCGGAGTTTGTGGTCGAGGCCTTGTGCTTCGTCTAGTTTGAAATTATCGGGAGTCTTGGTGTAGATACCCCAACCCTTTCGTCGCAAGAAATATGGAGGGAAGCCATCTTCTGCTGTGGATTTGGCAAAGAAGGCACCCCTTGAGCTGCAAAAACCTTGGCTTGCAACTATTTGGATCTGCTGATAAATGTTGTGTGGATCTAATGGCCTCGGTTTTATGTCTTTGACGCATCGGCAGAAACAGCAGGTGACCTTATCATCTTCCGTCGAGCAGGTATATGCTTCTCTGAAAATATTCCAATTTCATTAAAAAAAAAAATATCAGACAAGCTCATCTTGCATATGTTTCCTTATATTTCAACCGAAGAGTCAAGAGTCAACCAAACACAATCAATGAACTATATATGCTTTGGTAAAACAATCAAATTTTCACCAGCCCAAGAGACAAAAGAAGCAATAGAAATGGAATCTTTACAATAAAAAAGGGATCTTTACACCAAAATCAGACTGCAAATGCTTGATTGATGATAAAGTTGATATAAAACTACGAAACAGTATAAACCAACCGGACACTATTAATGAACTTCCTTTCGTAAAATATCAAATTCTCACCCGACCCGCCCAAAAGTTATATAAAAAAAAAAAAGGTTAAAAATGGAATCTTTATGATAAAAATGGGATCTTTAAGAGTAAGAAATCCAAGAGATATATATATATACATACCCTTTGTGTTTCCCATGTGGGACAATGGCGTAGTAGCGATTGGAAGAGAGGGGTTGATTAAGAACCGGAATCAAGAAAACCGGATCAAGAGAAGTATGGGCGCTCTCCCCAGTGCTTGTTGTGTACCGAACAGTCAACTCCTTGTCTTGAGGGAAAGGCAGCTCCTTTAGGGTTCGATTCTTACAGCATCCGAAACAAGAGTATGTTACAGATTCCTCGTCTTGAATTACTAGGTACCCTGAATTTGGACCCTCTGGTTTTGCTGCAACAGTTTCTGGAGATTTTACCAACTGAGAAAGAGGCCTCGTCACATACATCTTTTCCTTCCTTGGGACTTCTATTATTATTATTATTATTGTTAAATTCTTTTTATTTCTCTTTTGGTGAGAAATATGGTGGTTTTATAGTGCCAAAGTCGTTGGACTACGTCAACGGTCAACGACTTTTTTTTTTTTTAATTAAATTTATTTGTATATAATATACGAATCATTTTAATTATAAAAAAGCTTAATTGCGTATATGTTTATGACAGTGAGATGTTTGACCTTTCGACATGGAACCTTAATTGGAAAATTCAAACAAGTTGAGCTCATGAGCTGGATTAAGCTATGAGCCTATGACACGTCTTTGGATTTATATATGTTTTTTTTTTTTTTTTTTTTTTTTTTTTTTTTTACGAAAAAATCCCTCATGTTTGGGTAATTACAACCGCCCCTCAACTATGAATCTTCTTACACGTTCACCGTTTATAATGTCAAATTCTACATAATTTTCTAGATTATGTAAAATGTTGTCTAGTTTGTACTCGTATTGTGCAAAAATGCAGTTTTGATGCACTACAATCTGATGTTTACAAGTCAAAAAAACACATTTTACGATCATCTTGTTTCAAAATGTGGAGCTTGAATGAGATAAAACGGGTACAAACTAGATAATATTCTACATAATCTAGAAGATTCCACTAAATTTGACACCATGAAGATGGACATGTAAGAAGATTCATAGTTGAGGAGTTGTTGTAATTACCCAAACAAGAAGGGTTTTTTCGTAATTTGACCCCACCTCCGGGACTGGCCGTAATTTACTTTATTTATAAATAACTAAAAAAATAAAAATAAAATAAAATAAAAAGAAAACTAGTATTTGCATCGACTATAATTGGTAATAATTTCAAGGATATTTCTTGATAGCTCAGTCAAGGATTAAGGACCGAAGACGCGTAATTACTAATTAGGTTATTTCCTGGAAATTCAATTTCAACTAAATTTGGCTGTTCTACTTCTGGCCTTATCTATAATTGTGGCCACCTAATATTCTTGATATTATTAGTTAGATGATATTCTCGAGTTCAATTCGTTTACGCAATGCACCAAACTCGAACATAAATTTTCGTTCGAGAGAAGACAACAAAATACGTACGCCCCTCTTCCCGAAAGCTTCGCGGAGACGCTTAGTTCTTGTTCGGCTCGATTACATCTTGTTGAATATCGAATTGAATGTTTATCAAATCAAGCTCAAACACAACTTTTAAAAAATTTGAACCACCACGCCTTTCGATTCTTTTACAACCCCTACATAACGATACTTGATTACACAAGCGAATAACTAAACAAACCTAATCCACACCTACATAATTAAATAAATTATTTTTTTGTCTAAATATTCAGCCCGAAAAAAAAACCCGGAAGCATTCAATATTATATGTGCGTAAAAAAAATATACGGCGCGTAATGCAGTAGCAAAATACGCTCAAGCTTCTTTCCTCGTTATCCTGCATTAAGTTTCAACGCAGACGCAGAAATCAATACTTCGACGAATATAATGCAAATTACGAAAACGGGCTCATAAATGTTTTAGACATTATAATATTCTACGACGGGTGTAATACTTTGATTGGTGATGGAGTTGTTTACCTGAAACAGTAGATTCCCAGAGCCGATGTAATCTCGTGAATCACTGACGTGGCGAAATGCATATAGAGCACCACTACATATACAGCAAGAGGCATTTAAGGGTGCACTATAAGTAACATGGGCATGCATGTACCTAATTCAATTAACTCGTGTATGCATAAAAGAATGCCGTACCTGTGTATAGACAATAACCAAGAAGAACCCAGAACTCATCAACTAACGGAACTCTGCACGATATCAACACCTCATAAGAAATATAAGAAAAAATTAAGGCGAAAATAATGAAGTCAACGATAAAGTCAACACCTACCCGTCGTTTAGGCGGGCAGTGAGAGCATTTGCAATGGCCAATGGCAGATAACACAAAGACTGCAAATCCCAAACAATAAAATTGTATAACAGTAAACAAAAAAAAAATAATAATAATAATAAATAATAAATAATCTTAATTTCTAAATATTTATAAAGATGGTACGATTTGATTAAAATCGAAGCTCGTACCATGCACATGTTTGTTTTTAAGCCCTTGGGCTCGTCGCATAGGTGTGCCAGAATCATCCTTCCCTGCAATACAGTTTTCCCGATCATAATATTATTAAAAAAATAAACGAATAAATAAGCTTTAGAAAATGCAATTAAAAATAAAAATAAAGGTCTTACCACAAGAAACCCGAATGCAAGGCCAGTACCTATTATTACAAGAGGAGGATAACTCCTCATTAGATCGGGGGGAGATAAATAATTCCGGTAGTAATTATACAGTCAGCATTAAACCGTAAAAACTGGTCAAAGTCAAACACACGAGATCAAAGCAAATTAAGAGGTGCCCCACAAGAACTCCCCCCAATAGCACAACAAAAGGATAAATCTGTCAAGAAACGAAAGCAATATATTAATAGATAAAAAAAAGGGGGGAGGTTTGGGTTGGGGGGGGGGGGGGATAAAATATACGAGGTATTAACAGTGTGTCGAACGAATTTACCATTGCCAAAGCTAGAAGCATGTTTCCGTTTCTTGCTTTAACGACCTTGTAAACATTGTGTACACTGCACATGATATCCAACGTTCTAACATATATATATATATATATATATATATATATATATATATATATATATATATATATATATATATGAAACATTTTATCCGCTAAACATAAACCTAACTCACTTGAATGAGACTGTTGGTATGACCGCAAAGGTTGTCATAAATAACATAACAGCTTTATACATTATGATTCCTGTAGTAAATAGAAAAAAATAATAATAATGATAATTTTTTTAAGAAAAATTAAAATAAATAAAAGAAAGGGAAACGATAATGTATAAAGCTGTCCTGTTTATTTATCTTGCAAGACTTACCATTTAGAAAAGGAACCCAACTAAAGAACGGGATAGAATTTCCGAATGGCTGAGCCCACCACTCAGCACCTGAAAAATAAAGCCATTTAATCAGATCCTCGTCTGGTTGCGAATTTATGCTCGACTACATGTTCAAAATTAAAATTATGAAGATCAGTTTGGATAGGGAAGAAAAGTGAGAGAAAATTACCAACAAAAGCAGTAAAGAAATGGGTCATGTATATCAACATAAGACCTTCAGTCGGTCCGTTTATAACTGGAAGAATGAGAGTATTGGTAAAGTAGCTGTACCAAAAAACGAAAAAAACCAAATGAGTGCAGCACAAACAGCAGAACAAGTACCGAGAACTAGCTGCTAGTTGTGAGCCAATAGTATAATAATAACGGAAAAATTGAAGAATAAAAAAAGGATCTCCCTCATTTAATGCATAAAAGATAGTATTATTTTTCAGGCGAAAAAATACGTAAAATTCGCACAAAATAGAAGCATTATTAAGGAGATAATCGAGTTACCTTTCCCATGTGGCACAATAGAAAGGGACAGCTGATATAACCCAGAACCAGAAAGTACTCTTCCCACACATAGCAGTGCTTCCAAATGCCAACGACTCAAACTAGATGAAGAAAAAATAAAAAATAAATAAATGAAAAAATAAATAAAGAAAAGAAAAAAAGAAATTGAAGAATTCGAAGTTATACATACCGCACATGCAAGAGCATCACATCCTGCAATTGGGGCAGGAGAAATTCGCAAAAAAAAACGGTATCAGTCTAATAAATTGAAAAAGAAGGGAATGCACGGATAAGATACGAGATAAACGAAAATGCTCTAATAAGAAAAATGATCACCGTGGGTCGAAAAGTTCTCCAGCGCATTGAAGGAACTTGTTCAGTTTGCTAGTTTCCATCAATAGCATTGAAG